TTTGTTTTAAAAAAAAAAAAAAAAAAAAAGTCTAGAAGTTGTAAAGTATTTCAATGGAAATTTTGTGAATATTCACAAGGGAATGCACAATTGGATAGTAAAATATTTGTGGTGTAATAAGATAACCAAGTTATCCATTTCTTATAATCAGGTAGTGTTGCAAAGAACCTATGCCCGTTGTTTTGAATGGAATAAAGGATTATTAATCTTGTGTCTAAAACGGAAAATAGGCCTAAATATTAGGAAATCAAATTCTAAGATGCTTTGACAAAAAGTTTGAGAAATAGATTCCCCATGAAAAGATTATTGTGGGCACAACAGGTTATTTTTTTGTTTAGTACAGTAGCTTTTACAAAAGTCGCTTTTCTTTCTCCTCTTATAAAATATATAAAATAGGTTTAATTAGAAATGGTAGAATATGCTCTGAAAGATTTAGTCTCTTTTCTTGATATTTGATTCTCGTTAGAATATGAATCATGTTGACTGCAGACTTAAAGGCTAAGGTTCTTTTTAACTTAATATTTTGCCTATTTCAAGGAAAAACAGAATACCTTTAATTTTTTTTACTTTCCACGAATAAAAGGGAAAAGGAAGAAAAAAAGAAGAAGATGGAACGCCGATACTTGATTTTATTCTGATCAGAAACAGATATACTAAACTCACTTAATTTACTTATTATCATTATTATAGCCCTTTTCGTCAAATTTTTTGATTAGATTGAAAAAATACATAGAAAGACAGAAGTTGAGAATGTTTGAAAAGCATAGCCGCGTTGATCGACCAACCAAACTTCATCTTAAATTAATTAAATACCTCATTGCTTGTTTAAGATTATTACTCATTGATTATTAAAGAGTAGTAGTAATGTAGTATTGTACAGTTAAGTCAGCAAACACCACATCATTGGTGTGAAAAACAATAAAGTTAATTTTTTGGAATAATATAGAATTCTCTAGAATGTGCTAGTTTAGTATCCTTGATATTTATCTAGTGGACATATCTAGTTGTTCTAGAATGTTGTGGGAAGATAAGACATATCTAGATATTCCAGAGTGTTGTTAGAAGATAAGGTTGCTAGAATCTTCTTTGTACATTATCTAGAATCATCCATAGACTAGTATAAATAGGGGGTATCTTGTTCATTTGTAAGCAAGCCAAAAATCAAGAAAGCCTTCTTTCCAAAACAAGTTCTTTTATCTAAAATCTATCTTCTTTTTTCAAGTTTCCTCTTCTTTAGTTGAATACTCCAATCTTAGTTAACGATCTTGGGCTATCAGAAGGTATCCAAATAATATTCTTCTTCTGCTATTCTTTACATGGTATCAGAGCCATAAGTCGGCTTCTAGATTTCAAGGTCGGGTTAGTGGTTGATTCAACTGGTTTTTCTAAATGGATTTGGGTGGTCATGCTAATGGACTGGGGATTGAGTTATTGAACCAGTCCAAATACAAGGTATGGAAGACTTGTATGGAGTCATACCTTGTTGGTGAGGATTTGTGGGAAGTTGTCAATGAGAGTAACACAAGTCCTCCTGCTGACGCATTGGAAAATAGCAATGCACGTAAGAAGTGGAAGCAGATTAATGCTAAGGCGGAGTTTATCCTAAAGAGGTCCATCTCTCATAATTTATTTGATCATATTATAAGGTGTAAATCAACTCATGAAATATTGAGGACCTTCGATCGGCAGTTCAACAAGAAGGATGAAGCTCGACTACAGATTTTGGAGAATGCGTTAGCTAACACCACTCAAGGTAATTTCTCGATCGCCGAGTATTTTTTGAAGGTTAAAAATCTGTGTTCTGAAATTTCTCTATTGAATCCGGACGAGGCTATCTCTGAAGCACGAATAAGAAGAATTATTATTCGTGGCTTAAAGCCAGAATATATTCCCATTGTTACATCGATTCAAGGATGGGTTCAACAACCATCTTTGGAAGAATTTGAGAATTTGCTATCGTCACAAGAGCTATTATCCAAACAGATGACCGGTGTATCTATCAAAGAAGGGGAAGGAAATGCTCTTGTCACCGATAAGAGGAACTTTAAAGGGAAATCAAGAGATAGCATGCACTTTCAATCCTCAAGTAGTTCGAGCTCGCTAGGAAAGAAGGGGGAGTCTTCCAGCAACGGTAAAAAGCCTTTAAAATGTTACCGTTGTG